TGCAAGGGAGGGCCAGGGATTTAGCTCAGTGGTTTTGCTGCCTGCTGCGCAAGCACAAGGACCCGAGTTCAATCCCCGGTACCAAAAAAAAAAAAAAAAGAGTGCAAGGGAGAGTGGTTGAGCCATAAGCCATACATTTTTAAATTAATGTAGTTATTCTTTACTCAACAAATACTTACATATCTACTAGGTACCATGCATGTAAGGGACTAGGGAAAAAGGAAAACCTATTGGTCTTACTTCTGTAGGGTCAAAGGGATCAGGTAATTTAATCTCTCATACCAGTTTCAGTTTCCTCATCTGTAAAAGTAGACTAACTCAGTTATTGCAAGGGTTAAATGAGATATCATGTGGAAAATGCTTTAATGCCTGTCACATAGTAAGACCCCCACAGGTTACAACTATTTAATCATGTAAAGCACTTTATATACCCCCAAATGAAACAAGAAGCAAAACGACATCTTCTTTTAATATGCTGACTCCTCACAAGGCATTTTAGTTATGCCACAGGCACTGTCATCTTTTATTAGGACCTTTCCTTTAGTCCTACTTGTACAAAATGTGACCCTTTCTAAAGGCCTCATAATAAAGCTTCTAAAAGTCTAAGAGTAAAAGGCCATGTACAACTTTTAACAGTACACATTGGGGTTGGTTCTGTTTTCGCTTTAGAACAAGATTGAAGTAAGCGGGCTTGTACATCTGTACACTTCTCTGTTAACTTAAAATCTAGCTTTTGCCCAGCCTGTGGCACATAACTGTAATCCTAGCACTCGAGAGGCTGAGGCAGGAGGATCACTCCAAGGCCAGCCTGGGCTACATAGTGAGTTCGAGTCCAGCCTGAACTACATAGCCAGACCCTGTCTCAAAACAACAACAAAAAAATCTAGTTTTTGTTCATGGCTCTTTCTATCATAACATATTTCTTAGAAGTTCACTTTTGCTAAATCATTTCAGGTCTTTGAAGTTTTCCTCAATTCGAAAGAGCTCTGCCAGTTTGTAATGACTACATTGAATGGCCTAAAAACCCTGAAAGATATACTTGCACCCAGCAATTAGCCAGAGAATTGCTGCTGATGTTGGTAAAAAATGCGGAGTCCCGATTTGAGAAGGTACAAACTCAATGGCTATTGTCTGGGTTTGAAATACCAGCAAGACCTCGCCACTCCTAGTCCTGATCAGATGAGAATAACTACTAATTGGGGATAGGCCCAATGTCCTAATCCTTTTGCTCAGAAACATTTTTCCAATCAATAAGCATTGATAAAAATAAAAAGTAAGGGCTGTGGTATAGTTCAGTAGTAGAACACTTGCCTAGCATCCATGGGGCACTGGTGCAAAAAAAAAAAAAATTAGGAAAGAAAGAAGGAAGGAATTAAATTTAAGTGCTTTTAAAATGTAATTTTAAAATGATGAGAGCCTATTTCTCAACTTATCAAACTAGCAAAGAATCTCAGCATGGTGGCACACACCTATAATCCTGGCAGTCTGAGAGGCTGAGCTAGGAGGATTGCAAGTTTGAGCCCAGTTTGGGCAGTTGAGTGGTTTAGCAAGACTGTCTCAAAATAAAAACATAAAAAGAAGGGGCTGGAGAAGTAGCTCAATGGGAAGACTCTGGAGTCAATCCCTGCTACTGCAAAAGAAAAAAGTTTGGTTTTTTTTTTAAAAAGCAAACGTACAAAAGGAACAGTGTAAGAGCAAGGTGAGATGGAAACTTGCATGATTTGGGTGCTTTCAGTGGCCAAAAAGGCCAACTGTGAGAGATTTAACCAAAGGATTTACTACTGTATATAATACATATCTGTATTAATATGCATCCTTAATACAATAATTAAAATATATTAAATTACATAATTAATATAAACATATAAGGAATTTGGACATACAACATCTTATATTTTCCCAAATGGGTTCAGTAATTCAACAGTGTTATCCAAGACTCAAGAGCTTTTCTTTCTACTCTTCCTATTCATGTGGTTGTAAGGTAGTAATAGCAATTTCAGACCTTATAAGCAGAACAGACTATCCAGAAAGAAGAAAGATGTTGATTTCCTTTTTCGCACAGCAGGCAGCAAAACCACTGAGCTAAATCCCCAGCCCTCCTTTTCATCCCTTTATTAAGGGAAGAACATCTTTCTCAAAAGCCCCCAATAGATTTTATTCCTCATGTTTCATTAGCCAGAGTTATATCGCATGTCTAACCTTGATCCAGTTTCTGACAACCAGTAGTGATGACAGCCATTTTACATTGAAGGTGTTGAGAGCTGCCTCTGTGAGGAGCTGACAGCTCCAGAGACCTGAGGCCGTGCATCTGCTGGAAGAGTAGTCCAAGCAAGGAAATGGACCCTATGGCTCCTGCTTTCATTACCTGACCTCATAGTCATGTCTGAGAGGAAGGTAGATGAAGACTCCTCTGCCACAATCAGGATCAGAATGAGAGAAAAAAAAAGTTTTATTGTAACACCTTTCTTTCTTTGCTTTATTATAAAATCAATATGTAATTCTTGAGGAAATTAGAAAAAATATAATATTCCATCACTCAAAGACACACCTTTAACATCTTTGCATTTACCTGCTTTCGAATCTATATATTTATTTACTTACTGTGGTACTAAGAGTGGAACTCAAGGCCTTCTCACTGAGCTGTATCCCCAGCTCTTTTTATTTTTTATTTTTAGATAAGGTCTCATTAGGTTACTGAGTTACCCAGGCTGGGCTTGAATTTACAATCTTCCTGTCTCATCCTCCCAGAATGCTGAGATTATAGGAAAGCACCACCATGCCAGGCTCCAAATCTATTTGTGTGCATATCCGTACCTATAGATACCTCCTAAGTAGTTTTGTTTATAAACATTTGTTGTCCAGATCTTTGTACATGCTAACCAAGCTGTCTGCCACTGAACCACGCCCTTTTTGAAAGGAACTTTTTTTAAGTAAAAACATTGTTTAGGGCTGGGAATTTAGCTGAGTGGTGCTGCTGCCTGCCTTGCAAGGGGAAGGTCCCAAGTTCAATCCCCAGTACCAAAAACAAAACAAAAAAACATTGTTTAAAAATCACCCCCTAGGATTTTTCAGAAATGGCCACAGTATCCTCAGAAACCATTAATGTCCCATAGGATTAAGGTTTTAGTAATTTCTTTTTCCTCTTTAGGTACCTGAAGTTATGGGAGTTATCTGTGCCCAGCTATCCATAATCAGTCAGCCAAGAGTCCGCCAACAAATCATAAGTACTGTCAGTTTATTTATCTCCAGACCCAAGTACACAGATATAGTGCTTAGCCATCTTCTTTGTCAACCAATACCATATGACAGGTAATAGAATCTGTGCATCCTCTGGATTAAATTGGGGTACATAACCTGAGTTCTGTGGAACAAGGTTGCCCTCAAAAATCTAATGAGGCTGAGGCAGGAGGATCACCATGAGTTCAAGGCCAGCCAGGGCTCCATAGTGAGTTCAGGACCACCCTGGGCTACATAGCAAGATTCTGTCTCAAAAAACAATACAAAACAAAAAAGCTAATGAGACTCAGCCAAGCATTGTGGCACACACCTATAAACCTAAGACTCTGGGAGGCTGAGGCAAGAGGATCATAAGTTCAAAGCCATGGTATATTGTGAGATGATCTCAAAAAAGCCAAAAATAATTTAATGAGAGTCTTGTGGAGGAGATAAGATACAGATAGATGCCTGTGATCAGAATATAATATACAAACATAAGGAAACAATGCAACAAATCTACTGTGAAAAACATTTTGTAAGATAATTGGACTAGGGGCTGGGGATTTAGCTCAGTGGTGCTGCCGCCTGCCTCGCAAGGACAAGGACCCGAGTTCGATCCCCAGTACAAAAAAAAAAATGTATACCAATATAACCCAAGGACCTTGATTGGATCGTGAACCCAAAACAAAAGCTATGAAAGAAAATTTGGAGAAAATTTAAATATGACTTCTCTGCTAGATTAATGTAACTCCCTTAGGTGTGAAATATACTGGTTATACAGAAGGACGTTCTTACTGTAAGAAGATAGACACAGAAGTTATTTAGGGTAAATATCATACTGTAATAACTCACTTCCAGAATGCTCTCCAGAATGGTTTTGCCACAAAATATCTAAATGAATAAAGTGGTACATAAAAAGAACCTCATACATAGCAACACCCTATTGCCAAAAAAAAAAAAATCATTTTAGTTCATATCTGTACCATATCCCTAAAAATGAACTTTTTAAATCCATTTATACATATATAAACTTTTTCAGTTTATTGTGTATTTATTATACTTTTTTTATTTTTTCCTTTTAAATAGACTTTTTAGAGCAGTTTTACATTCACAGCAAAATTGAGGAAGCACAGAGTTCCCCAAACCCCCTGGGCTCCTTATATGTGTACAGCTTTGTCTTCTATCTGTATACTTTATCCCTATAATACCACTTCAGTGCAGTTTTAGAAGTTAGGGCATATAGAAGTATATATTCAATCATGTTAGTCTATAAAATTGTCTATGTATTAATAGAAGTATACTACATGTATTGCTTTTTTCATTTAACAATATGAAGTACTTTCTGTTTCAATATACAGGACTTTCTGCTATCCTTTCCATGAAGGCATAGTTGTTTTCTGTTTGTTTGTTTGTGTTTTTTGATTTTTTGAGACAGGGTCTCACTTGGTAGCCTGGGCTGACCTCCAACTTGTGATCCTCCAACTTATGATCCTCCTGCCTCAGCTTCCTGAGTGCTGGGAGTACAAGTGTGCGCCACCAAGCCTAGCTAGTCATTTATTTTTAATTACCTGGTTTTTTTAAAGTATATCTTATATGACACAGAATCATTTTTGTTGTTTTGTTCTGTTTTTTTGGGGGTTTTTTGGTGTGCCACTATACCTGGCATACTATTTGAATTTTATAGTTAGGAAATACACAAATACTATCAAAAAGTTAAACAATTTTTTTGAAGTCCAAGTCACATATACTCATAATATTTGAAACGTGCTATTTGTTTAAGGGATATATGCATTACCATCACAACCTGGACAATATTTAGGTTTCCCTGATGCCTGGTACCATTCTACTCCGTGGAGTAACTTGGGTAGCAATTATCTGCTCCAAGATGCTTATCATCGAAGACAGAGATCACCAGCATTCATGGTATGAGAACTCCTTTTCCACAGCACTCACTGGAAAACCAAGCCTCAGTCAAGTAATCCTCACAGCTACAGTTTTGTCACTTGAGTTCTGCTTCTCTTTGTTTTTGGATTTCTTTTTTTTTTTTTTTTATACCAGGGATCAAACTTGGGACCTTGAGCTTGTGAGGCAGGTGGCAGAACCACTGAGCTAAATCCCCAACCCTGTTTTTGGTTTTTTGAGACAGGTCCAGGCTGGCCCTCAATTGACTATGTAGCCCAGCCTTGGGCCTCGGCCTCCTGAGTTCTGTGCCACCACAACTGGCCTGAGTTCTGTTTCTCTTATTTAAAAATGCATGTATATATCTATAGCAAAAATGATAAATATGGGCTGGGGATTTAGCTCAGTGGTTCCAGGGCCGGCCTCACAAGCGCAAGGTCTCAAGTTCGATCCTTGGTACCAAAAACAAAAAATGATAAATGTTAGTATGTGTTAATTCTGGTTGATTGCATGAATATTTGATGCTTTATTCTACACACACACATGCACACACATACACACACACACATTTTAAAACTCTGAGACTGCTTCTCTTTAGGAGTTTCAAAAGAGTAGAATTCCAGTTCAGAATGGTAAGGAATCTTAAGGGTCCTCAGTTGAATTTCACTAAATTCTTGCTAAGGAATCTTTAAGTCTGTGTTGGATACCTTCCCTAGTGGGGAGCTCGTTATGATCTGAGACAGCCTTTCCACTTTTTCTCATTGTTATGGGACCATTTCCTCCACCTGTTCCTACTTCTGCTTTGTGAGGCAACTCACAACAGCACGCCCCTCCTCTACATAGCAGACCTGCTAATATGAGAGAGGGCAGTCATGCTTTCTTCACTTCTTCCCTGCCTTGGACTACCCATTGTGACTAGAAATCCAGCAAGCACTATATGCTAAGTAAAGGTAAAATGTTGTACCAGATGTTGTACCTTTTGACACACACAGGGAAGACATCAAGAGACTATTGCCATCCATCTTAGGCAGCTTATGTGAAACTGATGAGAGGATTGTTTTGTTGGCCATCCAGATACTCCAGAAGCTTGTCAGGATGATGGATTTTACAACCCTGGCTGCCATGATGAGGATCCTGTTCTCTTTATTTGGTGATGTAAGTCAACAAAGAGAGAAGATACTTCCCTAAAGGAGGGTACTTGGCATAACAGCTAGTAGAAGTTGGGATAGTGAATAAGTATATCCTATTTTATGTAGAACATTTTATTTTCAGAGCACTTTTAAATCTCTCTCAAGATCCTTGCAGGTAACCCATGAGTTGGTAGGGATGGTGTTACGATTAAACAGGAAACAGAAACTTGGCAAGGTATTCCTTTGTGGGATAGATAAAGGGTAAAAGAAACAATCAGAACTAGGGGCTGGGGATTTAGCTCAGTGGCACTGTGCCCGCCTCACAACCACAAGGTCCTGAGTTCGATTCCTGGTACCAAAAAAAATCAGAACTGGGTCAAGGTGATAGATATACTTATATCTTTGCCTCAAATCTCAAAACTTTTCCAAAAAGGAGTACATGGAGCACAGTGACTAGCATCCTTGGAAGAGCAAAGTATGCCAAGGCAGGGATTTTAAATTTCAGCAAAGCAGGCCAAGGATTTAGCTCAGTGGTTCTGCTGCCTGCCTCGCAAGCGCAAGGTCCCAAGTTCGATCCCTGGTACCAAAAAATAAATAAATAAATTTTAAAAATAAATTTCCGCAAAATAGCTTATGTGAATGTTTAAAACCAAGCTTAGACAATGACAGGTGGGACTGTGCCCATTTCTTACTTATAGAGAGAAGAACAAAAGTACCAAACAGCAGGTCTTGCTGTCTCCAGGTAAGTTTGGTTTCTTACCCTCAACTATATTCAGCTAAATAGCCTTGTGTTAAAACTGACGTTGTGAGCCATGTAGACTTCTTACAAGGTAACCGTGAACACATTCACTGAGTTGTTTCCCTTTGAACACTCCTCTTATAGGTGAGACCTGATGTTCATCATTTCTCTATGACCCTTTTTGGAGCCTCCATAAAGTCTGTGAAACACACACATAAGAAGGGTGTGGAGAATCAAGTTCTGGAAAGCTTGGTCCCACTGCTTCTGTATTCCCAGGATGAAAATGCTTCAATAGCTGAGGTAGTACCTACTTCTTTCAGCCCTAAATAACTCTTAAATCCATAGCCAACTCTGCAAATTAGTATTTGTAACTTTGTGGGCAGAGACTTTATAGTACAATCTTTGTTCTCTATGTCCTCTGGCACAGAGCTATGTTTCAATTATTTTTCTCTAAATGAATCATGGGAAAAAATCTTACTCCTGGTTTCTGTGTAGCAAAGTATGGCCCTCTGTGGGTAAGAACAATATATTAGCCCTCACTATAGCTGCACCCTAATATTCAGCCTAGCACAGAGCCCTAAATATAGAGCCTAACTCAACAAACCTTTTTTTTGGTAGTAGGGATTGAAATCCAAGGAGTACTAAGCTACATCTCCAGCTCTATAAAGTTATCATCATCATCATCACCATCATCAACAGGGTTTCTCTAGTTTCCCATGCTGGCCTTCAAACTTTCACTCCTCCTGCCTCAGCCTCATAGGTAACTGGAATTACGGGCATGCACTACCCTGCCTGGCAGCAAACTCTTTGTTGATGACAATGATAATTTTTTTAATATTTTTTCACTTTAGGAACTGCCTCATTTGCCTCAAGATAAATATCTTGAATTGAAGTTAAATCAGAGAGAGTAGCCTCTCTGACAATCTAGAGAAGTCTTTACTTCCCCTAAATCTTCCAAGGGTTTTTGCCATAAGAATTTGGTTTTCCATTTAAGCCATCTTAGTCTTAACCCTGTGGTGGGTGGGAGGTTGAAATGTCATCATCTTTAGTTATACACACATCAGAAGCCTGTCCAATCCAGAGTACTGCTACTTATGGTCTACCAGTGTGGTATCATGGGGTAGGGTGGGGGTAGGTTAGACCACAAGGATCTTAGGATGATGCTGGAGCTCTCACTTCCATGTGCACCTGCTATAGAAATGAAAGTCAAGGTTGCAAGTTCAGAAATGGGATTGGAGTAGGCCTTGGGACCTTCTTGTGGAGAAAATTGTGCATAGCTTTATAGATATAAATATGATACATTTCAGAAAGTATAGAGCAGAATTTCTGACCCAGGTGATAGGGATTTATAGATATGTGGAGGCATTGATATCCCACCCAACTCTGCCAGCCTTTTAGCAGTCAGGCAAGGCTCTGGGCTTATTCCCCTTCAAACCTTGAATAAGCCACTTCTTCAAGGCCCCTCAGAGGGTAATCTATGTAGACAGGAGGGATCTAATATAAATTAGATTAGGAGTCACTGGCACAGAGAACATAATGAATGCCTATATAACTACCTAAGAAACTACTCTAATAAATAAAACAGAAATCAATTATATACCAAGTCCCAACTGAATTCCTCCAAGAACTTTCATCCTTAATTTTGTTCTTAGCATTCCTGTGGTAATATTTTTCATGCTTTAAAACTTTATATATTCTCAGTGTTTTGTTGCCTTCTTTAACAGCATTTGATGGAGGATCTTTTATACATTTGCAACAGATATAAACCAGATTGCAAATCCTTTTTAAAATCTTAAACCAGCTGTCCTTAATGGACGATTAGAGAGCACAGTGGCCTCCGGAGGTGGCAGCCCCTTCCACCTCCCAGCGACAGTTCTGGCACCAGAGAGGACAGCTGCCTACTGAAGATTCTCTGGGGACAAAGCAGCTGCCTGGCTCCTGGAGAGATGAGTAGCTCTCAAAAAAGTCACAAAAGAAGGGAATGGAATTAATATGAGAAAATGAAAAAATGGAAACAAAGTCTTTGTAAATAGGGAGGGATGGAGGGGTTGA